AAGGAGAAAAGTACTCGGAAAGTACTCGGCCGAGTACTTTCCAAGTACTTTTGTCCTAAAAAGTTAATTTGAATCAAACAGTGAAGGTCTGAAGTCATTATGTTGCTTTGTAATCTTACCTTTATGCATGTACCATCAAATGCCGATGTACTTCAGCTTTGTTCCCTCCTAACTAGTTAAATATTTGGTGGAGAATTTGGTTCTCAAAAAGTACTCGACTACATCACTGCCTACCCCCCGAAGATGAGCCTTGCTACTTGCCCAAAGACAGCAATACTGCACCTAAATGGGAGTCTTCCCAGTTAACCCGTTGCTTCTCCCTAAGAGCCTGGCTATATCACTAATCGTTCTTGTCATATGAATCACTTACTGCTTTTTATCGCATTTCCTACGGAATATATAAAAAAAATACATGCTCACTGCAATGCATGACAGAAAATCTATGTGTTGCGGTTGCAACTGAACCGCTTCCGACTTTCGTGGTCGATCACTTCTCCCGCCAGTAGTAAAGGTCAGAGATACCGGGTTTTTTTTTTTAATCGCATGCAAGTTTTCACCAGTTTTTCCGGGTTACTACTCGACTATCCATCCCCAACAATCAGAATATTAAACTTGAAAAAAAAAGAAATAACACGTTTTTCATTGTCATGTTAGGGCTATATGAGCGGTGTGAGTGTCGTCGGAGCGGTCATAACTGAATGGAGATCAATACTGCAGAAGTTTTTCAAACAGCTATCAACAGGATCAAACATTTTTAGCGAGAGTAGACAAGCTGATTATGGGCCCCGGGTTCGAACACTTTGTGAGCCGACTTTTACACTCTAAAAACTGTGTTCACTATATTGAACACAATATCTTGCTTTCATGCTACAAAATAATTTGGTGCCCAATTCCTAGACATCAATGTGCAATGGCTACACACCGTCCATCAATACTGTAAACACTATACTTCAACATATTTACAAACTAACAACAAGATATTGCTCGGGAATGTGATTTATGGCCGTTCACGGCCTTTGCAGGTTAACGTTCAATTTTGTTCTTCGGAGTACTTTCGCCGGTAGTTTTCAATGCGTCTCAGTCCGTTGGTTCCTTGTAATGTGTTTCATTTTGTCTGTCCTGTTCTGTTCTTTGTCTTTCCTCTATGATAGTTAATACTTTCATTTCAGTTTCTAACATGAGATGTTCTGTTTTAGATACGTTTCCATATTAGCCCCTTTTCATTTGTGGCCTAATAGTTATTATTCCTAATTTTTATCGAGTACCTTTTGTATAGCAACCATCTGTATAATTTAATTAACTAACATGGAAATAAATGTTGAGATGGAATGAAATGAAAACGAAAATAATGGCATTAAATGCCCTAACTATGCACATTACTATGCACATGCCAAAGGAAGAGGGCTGCACCTTAATGCAACTCCAAACAGCCGTGACATTTTCAGACATTACCACTAAAAATGGTATGAATCGCATCAGAGGTGTCAAACTGGATATGTTAATTCTGAAGAGCCACTAAACACTGTGATGTCGTTGGCAGAAGAAAAAAAACTTACGCTGTTGAGTGGGCGCCCCAGTGACGCCTCCAGTGGCGTTGAAGCTGATTTGGCTGGACATGACGTTTAGGTAAAAGTAGTCCCGGTCTGGTACCCCTTTCACAATTGTGGCCCTGATCAGGAAACCACCAAGAAAAGATTGAGAAGAGTGCAGTGACTGCACGTAAACAAATGGGACTTGTGCGTATGCTGCAAGGTACCAGTCCCATTTTAATCGGATTAATATGCATTTTTTGCTGGGAACAAAAAGAACTGCCCGATCAGTGGAGCAAAATGTTAGTAATTAAAGTAAGGGGGAAAACAGATATGGAGTTTGGGCTTTTCTTACATGAACTTGATGGGGCCTTCGTCTTGCGCAGGAGCAGTCCATGTCGCTTCAATAGACGATCTAGTCATACTGTTAGAATGCCCCCAGGCAGACTGAAATTAGATGGATTAAACACAACATAATGCGTGCATGATGATAATTCAATATTCTATCCGGGCTACGCCCACTCTGTCCAAGTTAGAAAGCGCCCTCTCTTTTTTCACAAACGACACGTGATGCAAAATGGAGCACTTCATTCCCAATTTTAACAGATAATCGGGGCAACATTTCCTTGTATCCCTGCTCAGTTGCAAAAGGACATGTAAATTCGATTTACTTAATCTGTGCCGGGGTATGCTTACATTTTCCACATTGTGGCACGTCAGGAGCTGCGTAGTAGCAGGCGGGCTGGAGAACGTTCCTATGGCAACGTCGTTGTCCCGGGCAGGATCTGCGCGACGTGCTTGGATAAAAAACCCCTCGAATTGGTTGCCACCTGTTCCAGTGATGGTTACTTTGGGCATAGTGAAAAAAATCATCACAGGGAAAGTCATTTGCAAAGCAGTGTGTCAGCGATAATTTGCTCTTTTTTTTGCATACAAGGACGTACTTTATAACTGACTGAGTACACTGGTGCACGGTCCAGATGGCCTAAATGGACCGACAAGTTCGAGTCAACTTGCAACAAAGCAACAAAACTGCTACGCCTAAAATACCATCAACAGAAAAAAAAAGTACTATGCTGCGCGCGGGCTTGTATAACCTGTAGGCCAATCCTCCCCCATAGCGTCAAAAGCTGAATAGGACGCAGAGAAGAGATGCCCATGCGGCAGAAAATAACGCCGGTTATGCAGGTGAAAGTCTCGGATTATGGCTATATCCCTATAGGCATGGGCGTAAATGGGGGGGGTATATCCCCACTTTCGATCTTGGGGGGATAATGAAGCAGCCCCCCCCCCAAGCAAAAAAAAAATTAGCAGATTCTGAAGAAGTTTTCGGACTTCCCAACGACTAAAAATGCATTCAATATCACTCAAATAAGAAAAAAAAATCAGCTTTAAATATGCCGTATGCCGTTCTGGTGCAAGATTCCGCATGAATGCAGTACGTATTTATCTTCACCATAAAAAAAATTGACTGCTATAATGGTGTCCAATGGTGTCATCCCCCATCCTGCTTTTCGAATTTCATGGTCAGGTATTAAAGTCTTCCCTCACTTTTCCCCATCCCCCACCCCAATCAATTTCCGGCACAAATGTACGGCCCTGCCTATCGGTGCGCCCATGGATAACTGCCGAGACTCATCCAATGGGGTGTGGCAGGAATTCTGGTCAATGGGTTTGGTCTGTTGGCCGATAGTCTGTAATTGAGTGGGACCAAAACGCCAATAGGCGTATCGGGAAAGCCATTTTGATTGTGTTCCTACAATCCACTTTATTCAGTATAATCTGTTATTTGGGATGGTGCCAGGCTATATGGGGTTCAATGCCTCACTTTCATTATCTTTAAATATGGCGTTTAAAACAATTAGATTCAATTAATTGTTGATGCGAAATTCTTCATCAGCACAAACGGCATTAATGTGTAATGGAAAATTATTTCAGTGCTTTCAGTTTTTTCTCAATTGTCAATTTGAAAAGATAAAAAGTTAACCTCGCTTCCAATTCAATACGGTCGACTTGTAAGCAATGCAGTCAACTTTGTATGGCGTACCTGTCAAGGAGCTGCCCCTCATGTACTCGTCTGCCGACGCGGTGATGGTGTAAGGCGGGTTGTCTGTGTCATCGGCCCGACTCATCCCGCCGTTGTGACCGGTCGGTATCATGTCGGTGCAGAGATTAGGATAAGTTGACCCCACGGGCGGCCCGCTGGTGAAACCCAACACAGTAGCCACAAGCGCCAGAAGAAGGACGGCATACATCATGTTTGTTGGGGGTTCTTTTTAAAACAATTACGAGTAGCCCTGAAAATCTCACGTCAGAAATGTACAAATACCGTACAGAATTAAAGGATGATCTTTTCTGAAAAAGGGAACAAAATGCTACATGAACATCGTACCACAGCCTATGCTGTTTTCCTTTGGAAGTTGTGTACGAGTGATAAAAAAACACCTTTCAAACAAACACCAAATTCGAACAATGCACCAAAAAAACCGAGAAAGCAGCCTCGCAAACGACGAGAGTGGAGAGCGCTTTAGACACCTGTTTTAAATTCTGTTTGAACCATTTTAATCTTCTCACCGTCTTCTCCGACGTCACCCTACATTATAACATCACATATTCTAGCGTGTTTGCATGACGTGTCACTAATCTGCCCCGAGTTCAAGTGCACCCTCACCGGTATCAGAGAAAGGCTGCTACGGAGTTTCCCAACCGGGTTCTTGCTCGCCTTGGGCGTGCACGACTCGGAGAAGACCATAGATTCCGGCCTAAAATTCGTCGGGCCTATACTCAGCGCAGTGCCCCGCAGTGCCAAAAGTCCATAAACTTGCATGCGCGCCTCTGCAGGGAAGTTCGCACCCAAGGACTGTCAGTTTCATTTTAAAAACACGCCTTCGTTTCTTCCCGTTCAGAGCGGATAGCATCATGATTCTGATGGACAGCAGCACGCCCATTAAATTTTGAGCAATTGGAGGGGACAGCTTATATGTACATCTGGATTTCTGCATTTTGCTCAAAATAGTCGGTTGGCAGAATGGGCTGACTAAACATGCATTTATTGGGTCATCTCTAACCAGAGACCGAAACGGGACTTCTCATACATGGTAAAGCCAGCATACTATCACCCAGCATGACACGTATAACATTATGTGAGCACGGTAGGCGGGGGTAAAAAAAAAATGGCCAGATCTGTATAGGCCCTATTGTCTATGAATCGTTTCTTATTTTTGAAATGACAGACATTGCAAGGACGTACTGGCAAGTACAAAATTTACCATCGAATAGCAGAGAGGCAAACACAATCAATTTGCAGTAAGATAGCAAGTTTAAACGAATTTCGTTTGTAAATTGTTAACCAACGAAGATACGTCTTGTTTCACGTTATACCGGTAGGCTACCCACGGACAGATTGCATGTACGTGAACATCAGGCCTAGATGTACAGCCCCTCAAACCTGGGGTGTGAAGTGCTCTGCAATTCACGCGGTTGCGCGCGCATAGTACATGCGCAGTTGACTTCCTTTGTCAGACTCCAGGCCAAGGCTATCAAAGGAACAAAATCTCAACATAGTCAGTTGACAGGTGTCAGTACAAATAAGGCCGGCCCCGGCCAGTCAGCAAACCCTCCGCTCATGAACGTAAAGAATTCATTGAAAGAATAAAACCCGGTTTCGTTGAAACAGTGAGTTTCCGACAGCACTGAAAACCGTTATTCCGTGCGCGTTAGTTTATATGCGAGTGTCTGATTCTTTTTCTTGAAAAAAATACCTCGTCATCTTATGGAAACATTTATTTTAACAGCCCTATTGCACAAGAGTTCCAAATGTGTGAACATCACTAATTTCCCTTCGTAGTAGTTCATTATTATGTCCTAGAAAGCTTAACTGAGCAATGAAAATATTAAAGCAATATTCTCATAGGATTTCTGCACAACTTGGTGTAAAGTGACGTCTGCATATCGAACTCTTTTCTTTCTCTCATTTTTTATGCAAAATTCATTATTCCATGTTACCCGAAAACAAGTGGTTCCGTACAGAGCATTGTCTGACACCAACAATTTAAAAATGATTTATCAACCTGTTTATATAATGAAGGCTGACCTGCATCACGAATGTTCATTTAGTCTTTTTACGAGCGATTTATGACGACAGACCAACTGTTTCATACACAAACCCTACAACCTAAACCCGTGTCATCAACATGACGCAGAGCTATAAAACTAAGCATGTCAACGCCACTGTACGTGTACAATATGTAAACCTGGTCGCGGTATCTCTACCGGCAGGAAATGAAACTATCACAATTAACGTCAAAAACAAAGTACCAGTTACGATTCTGAGACAATCTAACGCCAAACAAAGCACTGTGCAGGCCTGTTTCACATTTATAAATGTAACTAGCTAGCGGAGACACTTACGGCTTTCGACG